CCCCTTCTGAATCCCCCCATCCTCCTCCACTTCCATGGCGGCGGTTTCTGCATCTCCAACTTCTCATGGCTAATGTACCACCAATTCTACTCCCGCCTCGCCCGCTCCCTCCCCTGCATTGTCGTCTCCGTCGACCTTCCCCTCGCACCCGAACACCGCCTCCCCGCCGCCTACCACGCAGCCTTCCAAGCCCTCCTCCGCATCCGTGACGCCTCTCCCCTCCTCTCCTCACTCGCAGATCTCACCCGCGTCTTCCTAATCGGCGACTCCTCCGGAGCCAACATCGTACACGAGCTCGCCGCCATGGTTGGACGGGCCGAGGAAAACGAGCCTGGATTTTGGGGCCCTGTCAAAGTCTCCGGCGGAGTAGCAATTCACCCGGGATTCGTCCGCTCCACGCCGAGCGCGTCGGAGACGCACTTGGAGTGGCAGACGCCGTTCCTAACGCTGGAGATGCTCGACAAGTTCTTAGAACTGGGGCTTCCCGAAGGACAGGGGAAGGATCATCCGTACACGTGTCCTATGGGGGCGGCGGCGCCGCCGATGGAAGAGCTGAAGATGCCGCCTTTGATGGTGGTTGTAGCGGAGAAGGATTTGGTAAGGGATACGGAGATGGAGTACTGCGAGGCGATGAAGAAAGCTGGAAAGGAAGTGGAGGTGTTCTTTCAGACCGATGTGGGGCACTCGTTTTACCTCAATAAGTTTGCGGTGGATGGGGACGAGATCACCGGGAAGAGGACGGAGGAGCTTATTTTGGCTATAAAGGACTTCGTTGACCGGCACTGATAATAAGGTCGTTGTTCGGTCGGCATGTTAATGTTTTTTTTTTTTTTTTTTTTTTTTTTTTTTTTTTTTTTTTTTTTCTTGGTGTGTTTTACTCATTGTAAGCATAGTGGTGAAGATCGAGTTCGACTTGGAACCGAAATGTGAGATAATCTAAGTTTAATAATTTGTTCGTAATTGAATATGATGTAATAGATATTATAATTATTTAAATAAAAAATAAATCATATAATAATTATATAATAATATAAATTTATGATTAAAAAAGAAATTTAATTCTTACATTAATACATAACCAAAAAATTACATAGATCGAGCACGAATCTTAAGAGGATTTCAAGTTGAAACTTAAAAAATTAAATTTGGGGTCATGAGCAACTCCAATTTCAACAAATTTATAATCAAATTGAATGTCTCATAGAGACGAACCAAACGAAACTAAAATTAATCCAATTTGAGCCCAAAAGAGTCCAAAGCAAGGGATCGCATCATATTTGAAAGGATGACTAAATGATCTTTAATTATGGCATGCTTATAATCAAATCGAGCGGCTCGACCAGAGAAATTCAACGAGCTCAAGATGGCTTAATTATGACATAATTAAGACACTTAAATGCTCGACAAATGCTCTATGATGAAGGAAATTAGCATGGATTGTCCGATGGAACGTTCTGAATTTTCCCTAAATCTTCTCCATAATTATGACACTCTCAAAATCTATAAATATGGGGCTAGGACCTTTGAGGTTGTTGTTGGACCTCTGTTCGACCATCGTCGTCGAACCTCTGTCAGGCAGCCATCATCAACTGTGATCCTTCTAATTACCATCGACCGCCAACTACATCTGACCTCCATTCCTATCGCCAGCCGACTATGCTCCCTTTGACCTCCATTGCCTGCGAACTGACTAAAGTCCCTCCTAGCTTCATCACTTGCTGACTATGGCCCCTATGAGCACTGTCACCCACCGACTACGACTCCTCTGCCCTCCGTCGTATACTGATTATCTCCCTTCCGACCTTCGCCACTCACTGAAGACGATCCTTCTGACCTTCTACAATCCCTCAGACCTCTATCATCAGTCGATGACTACCCCTATGACCTCCATCGCTCGCTAACTACAGTCCCTCCAACCATCATCGCCCACCTACTACAGCCCCTTCTATCACGCTAAAAAATTTATACTGTAAGAATTAGATCAATCTTACTTTCTTGTCTTTAATCCAGATATTACACTTTTCATATAAACACTAAAAAAAAACATGATTATATTTATATTCATCAAAATATACAATTATTATAAACCCAAAAATATCATATATTCAATATTCATGACACAAAAAACTAGCTACATCATTATAATACATCATGACAATAATATATACTATATATAGGAACACAAAAAAAATAAAATAAAACTAAACATGCTATTTGAAGTCTCACATCGTAGGATTTTTATCCTTTCTTGAAAAATATGTAAAGCCTCGTGATGAACAAAAAAGCCCAACAGTAACTAAAATCTTACAACTAAAATCATTGTAATGAAAAGGAGAAATGGTATGGTGTAAATTATATAAAGAAATTTATGCATCAATAGCTATGCCACTTATTTGTATCCTCTCAGTTTATAACACATCACATCCATGTCTATTATATCATCATTAAAGTTATCAGCAATATTGATCAATACCAGTAACAACAATTAATATTAATATCAGTCATTATATCAGTGACAATGATCAGTCTTAGCAATAATAACAATATTAATAGTAAATAATATCAATACAGTATAAGCTACAATATTAGTAATGGTAATGAGTAATCAATCAGTAATCAGTATCAATAGTAAGTAATCAGTATTCTATCAAATGTTAAGATGAGTTTATTTTGATCTTGATCTTCCACTACAGGAAAAACGTCATTTTCCGGCGGCCATTTTCGTCGAAAAATGGCCAAAAATCCGTCAGAAAATTGCATTTCCGGCGGATTTCAGGCGGAAATATTTCCGCCGGTTTGGTTCGCGTCTTAAAAAGACTTCCGGCGTTAAAAAATTCGACGGAAACATTTCCGGCGGATTTCCGACGAAATTTTAACCGGAAAAAAATTTCCGTCGAAATGTTAATGCGCCGGTAGGGGTGTCAATTTTTGACACGACACGAAACACGA